CCGAAGACCTGCGGGCGCTCTCGGCTCGGCCGAACCGGGCGAGGATTTCCCCGAAAGTCCGGCCGGGGCTGCGTAGACGCCGTACTCCATCAACCCTGACTCGCACCTGGGCCCCGCGCGAACGTCCTTGAGGCGGGGACGCCAGTGTTCAGGGCACAAGAAATAAGCACGTATCTTAAGACCGACCGCACTTACGATTCGATGAAATACGGTACCTCCTACGGGAGATGGTGGGCCCCGCCCACCCGGACCCAGACCCTTTCCACGCAGGCGCGGAGCCGCCTTGGGCTCCCGGCCCCGGCCCCTGGGGGGCCCCCCCTCCCCCACCCCGCGCAGGCGCGGAGCCTACTAGCCGGCTCCTCTTGCCCTCGAGACGCGCGTACGCTGCGATGGCGGATTCCGAGCTGCAGCTGGTGGCGCGGCGGATCCGCAGCTTCCCCGACTTCCCCATCCCCGGCGTGCTGTTCAGGTACGGGCAGCCGGGCCACGTGGGGCGCGCGGGCGGAGGAACGGAGGGACGGACCGGGCCGCGCGGCCCGGGATGTTGGGGCGCGGTGGGCTCTGCGTGGGCCCGAGAGTCACCAGGCCTGTCCTTGCGTGCCAGGGACATCTCACCCGTCCTGAAGGACCCCGACTCCTTCCGCGCCTCCATCAGCCTCCTGGCTAATCACCTGAAAAAGGCCCACGGCGGCGGGATCGACTACATCGCGGGCAAGTGGGGCGTCAGGGCTCCGCCGGGCCCCCGGACTCTCTGGTGCTGCTCGAGTCTGCCATGAGGGCGCAGTGTCGGGAGTCCTTTACCCTGGGCAGGGTGGCTTTGGGGGTCTTTTAGGGGACCCGCTGCCCCATCCCGACTTTGCAGCCGTGAGAGGGGCGACAGGCCCCTCCAGCGGCCGGGGAACGCCTCTGCTGGCTGGGTGCCGGCGGCGGGGCTGAGGGCAGGCACAACAGGTGGGGCCCCAAGGCTGAATTTCCCCAGGGGCTGTCTGACCAGAATCCCCTGGGCCAAGCATGCTTTCTTGTTTTACCGGCGGGTATTGAGCGCCTGCCGTGTGCCAGGTCCCTGTCCCAGTGGTGGGTTTTAGGAAAACCCAGGAGATCGTGGAAGATCCTGGCGCAGGTCCTGTTTCTCTTTGAGAGCCCCACCCCTGATCCTCCCTGGTTCTTGGATACCCTGAGGGTCCACAGCACTGCCCTGGAGGTTGGAGGGCTCCAACTGGTTGAGTCCTGCAGAGGATTCTTCCCTTCAGAAGCTCTCCCTCCCTAACCACACTCCCACGTGGGGAAGAGGCCCCCCTGGAGTTCCCCCATCACAGCTCAGTCCACCCCGGGAGGTGGCCGGCGCAGTCACTGCCTCTCCTTCTGGACTAGAAGCTCCTGGGGCAGACGCTGAACCGTCTAAGGGCGTTTCAGGTACCACCAGCCACTGGTGAGCAGCTGAGGCCACACAGCTATTTACACTGCCGTGTACGGAGTGGCTCCTGCCCAGCTCCTGATCTCTCTAGCACCTAGCAGTCCCCGTGTGGTAGGTGATCTGTCAACATTCCCAAAGTGGTTGGATGTCATTGGTCTTTCATCTGGAGGCAGCAAGGCTGTGTGTCCTGTGTTGTGATGGATACTTGTCACTGTTCAGCCCTGACCCATGGGGACCCCAATGCTGCTGCACCTCGCGGCTGCCCCCCAACACCCCAGGTCTCGCCGACAGGCCTAGACTCCCGCGGCTTCCTGTTTGGTCCCTCCCTGGCCCAGGAGCTGGGCTTGGGCTGCATTCTCATCCGGAAGCGAGGGAAACTGCCAGGCCCCACTGTGTGTGCCTCATACGCACTGGAATACGGGAAGGTGAGAAGGCTGGGGGCTGCCTCTGTGGACCCTCCATTCCCAGGAGAGTCGTGGACTGCAGTGGAGCTGCCGTGGTTGGTTGGAGTGGACATGGGAACTCAGAGAGACTGAGAAGCTGGGCCAGGCTGACAGAGCCAGGAGACAGGGTGGGTTGGAACTGGGGCCCAGGGGGTGGCCCCTTGTCCGTTCCCCAGCTCTGCACATTAAGGCCGTTTTGGGGAAGCTCATAGATCACGTGTCCGCTTTCATCTGCAGGCCGAGTTGGAGATCCAGAGAGACGCCCTGGAGCCAGGGCAGAAGGTGGTGGTTGTGGACGATCTGCTCGCCACTGGTGGTGAGGGTCTGGCCTCAGGGTCTGGCGGGGGTGGGCAGTGGGTCTCAGCACTCTAGCTTCCCAGGGCCCATCTCCACACCACCCCTCCCTCCCTCCCTCCCTCCCCAGGAACCATGCGTGCAGCCTGTGAGCTGCTGGGCCAGCTGCAGGCCCAGGTGCTGGAGTGCGTGAGCCTGGTGGAGCTGCCCTCCCTGAAGGGCAGGGAGAAGCTAGGAGCCGTGCCTTTCTTCTCCCTCCTGCAGTACGAGTGACCCGCAGCCCCGCACCAGCCGGCGGGGCGGGCCTGCTGCCTGGGGGGCCTGCTGGGGCTTCTGGAAGCCCCAAGGCCTGGAGCTGCAGACTCATTGACAGTGGAATGAGAATAAACAACTGACTTTCTAGAGCAGAGTCTCTCCCCAGTGTCAGTGTGGGCAGGTGCAGGGGCGCACCCAGCAGGCTGGGCCTCTCTGACATTAGCATTTGGTGGTTCTCGAGCCCTGTGAGTCGCCTATGCACGCACAGGGGCAGCCCACCCTGGCTTCCCCTGCTGCTGTGACCAACTCATCACGCACGCGTGTGGACTTCAGACAACTTTATCTTACAGTTCTGGGGGCCAGGTACAAAAACCAGGGTGTGGGTAGGCAGGGCTGGTTCCTTCTGTGGGCTCCAGGGAGAACCTGCTCCTGGGTTCTCGGCTCCTGGCATGCCAATCTCATATTCAGCATCTGCCTGCCTGCCTCCCTCTTACGAGGGCCTTGTGTGACACCCAGCCCACCCAGATACTCCAGGACCACCTCAGGATCCCACATGGACACCTGGGAGGGTTACCTGCCAGCCACACTACCCTCCCTGCACGCCCCCCCCCCCACTTCCCAGCACCCTGTGTACGAGGGGGGCCTCCACCACACTGGCCAGAAGTCCTCGAGCCCAGCAGCCAGAGCCCTGACCCTCACGGGGACTCGGGACAGGGAAAGCAAAGTGCGTCGTGTTCCTAGTGTAAGACACAGGCCCGGCGGCCCGGCAGCGTTGGCAACTGTCCGCCGGGCTCACAGCGCCTCCTCGGCACGGGCAAGGCGGGCCAACTGTGCCATGACACCTGCCAGGTCAGCGGCCTTGTCCAGCTTCACGTAGGTGTCGGTGCGGATGCGGTGGAGGCTGAGCCAGTTGGGCAGCAGCTCAGAGAGGAGCTGCACGTGCTTCTCCATCTCCCCTGCGGAGAGAGGGAGCACGTGAGGCTGGGGGCCAGGGCCCTATGAGGCCTCCCAGTAGTGACCACACAGCCTTGCCAAGGACCTGACCCTCCCGTGGAAACCCCACAATGGGATACGCCCAGCAGCGAGGGACCAGAGACCTTGGAGGCAAGAGGCAAGCCCTGTGGGGCCTGGGGGCCGATGGAGGGACCACAGGGGAAACAAGGCTGCAGGAGCCAAGGGGGCCAGATAGCCTCAGGAGGTGAGCCCAAGGGCACGGTGCCCGCCCTCACCTGGGACCTGGGGAGGGCCCTGCACGTACCGGGGCTCATGACTGTGCGGTAGCTGCCCACCATCCTGGCGCAGGCCACCTCCATGGTAAGCGCTGGCTTGCGCTCCGACACAAAGACGCTGCGCAGCACGCGGGCCAGCTCAGGCAGCCGCTCGAGCCGCTGCAGCCGCAGCTCCTGCTCCGGGCGCCGCGTCATCTGCGCCAGCTGTTTCTGCGCCTCCTTGGCCCGGACCTGCAGCGGGCATGGACGGTCAGGGGACGTCTGCCTCACCCCCTCACCACCACCCCGCGGGGACGCCAAACACTCACCCGCTCCAGCAGGGCCTGGGACACCCCCTTCAGAGCGGCAGGCGGCGTGGCTGGCGGGGTAGCTGGCAGTGCCGGGCTGGGGGACTGGGGGCTGCTAGGCTGGGCCGTGCGCTGGGCCAGGTCACTCAGAGCCTTCTCCATCTGAAGCAGGTCAGAGGAGAGAGGTCAGGAGACCCCTCCCCCGGGGTTCAGCCACAGGGGAGGCTCCTCACACCCCGCCTGTGTGGACCCCCCCAAGAGTCCTTTGTCCAGCCCAGGGTCACCCTGGCACATCGAGGGCCTGTGCTCACTGCCCCAGGGCAGAGCCTGCTGGTGGGCGGTGCTCCGCTTGTGGGGAGAGCAGGTCCAGCTACCCTGAGGCCCACGGCCAAGGGTGGAGCCTGTCAGGCACCAACATGGGGGTTAGGCCGCCCCACACCAGCCTTACCCTGGGTGACATCAGGCTGCGGGCACGGGCCAGCACCTCCTGGGCAGAGGCCAGCTTTTCCACAGTGGGCGGTTGGGGCAGCTCGGCTGGCTCAACGTCAGGCACTTCGTCCACATTGAAGCGGGGGTGCCAGCGTGTCAGCTGGTCCTCAGGCACCTCCATGGGAGGGTTCAGGGAGGCCAGGAAGGCCTGTGTGAGAAGGGGGAGCACCAGCTGACCCTGGGCACATCTGCCTGTGGGTGTAAAGAGCCGTCCGTGTTCCTGCCCAGCTGGGCAGCCTCGGGCAAGTTACTTCACTTCTCTGAGCCCCAGGTGCTCAGCTGGGCTGAGGGTACAGCATAGAGCACCCAGCAGCACCCACCGGACTCTCCCCAAGCTTCCCGGGGCCAGAGGCTACCAGCCTCGAACTCCCTGCTTGTCTACTCAGAGGCGCCCAGCCCCGCGCCTGCCCACGCGTGGAAGACAACTGTGGAGAGTGGTTAAGGGAACTCTAGAATTCAGCCTCGGGAGGAGCCCATTTCCTGCGGGCAGATGGGGCCGCGACAGCAAGGACAGCACAAGGACCTGAGCCGGGGGACCCGCTCACCCTGTGATGCTCCCGGACTCGGGCTACCAGCTTCTGGCTGAAGACCTGGCGCCGCTGCAGCAGGTGCGACGCCGTGAGCTGGGGGGCCGCACTGCCAGCCTCTGTGGGGAGAGTCCAGGCCTGAGCCCCAGGGCCGGGCCTACCCAGTCACCCAGCCCACCCCCACGGGTCTCAGACAAGGCCCAGTGCCTGAGGCCTTACACCCACGCTGAAACCGTGCAGAGTCCCAGGCAAGAACCCAAGGCCCGACACACTCACGCTGGTCCAGCAGCGGCTCAATGGTGAGCTGGTAATCAGACCTTCTGACGCCATCCTTGAAGGTGGGGATGTGGCGCTCCTGGCGGAAGCGGTAGGAGCCAGGGTACACGGTTTTGATCTGGCCCACGTTGCGCTCCTCAAAGCGCCTACAGGACAAGGGTGCGGGGGGTCAGAGAGCTGGGGTCAGAGGGCACACAGACTCCAAGGGCAGGACGAGGCCCTGACCCCCCCAACCCCCGGCTCACTTGTGCATCATGTCCTGGACGCCCTGCTTGACCTTGGTGAAGGTCACGGTCTCAGAGCGGTTGTAGAGCATGCTCACGATGGTGTCCATGCTGCGGAACATCTCGGCCAACACCTGGTACTTGTAGGGCAGCACGAGGCCTGGGGGCCCCGGCTGGGCCAGGGCGTGGAAGCGCTGGTAGGCAGGCATCTGCTCACCACTGCCAGGGAGGGAGCAGGACTGAGGGAAGCACCACACCCACCCCCTCCAGCACCCAACGGCAGGCAAAGTGGTGGGGGAAGACCCCAGAGCCTGGGCTTCCACCCCCAGGGCGCACGGGCGCACCAGTTTACAAAGCCCCTACACGCCCACTGTGGAGCACTACCAGGGGCGGAGACAAAAGCCTGGCCTCAAACCCAGCTGTCACCCAGGGCGGTACCCGACCATCCCCAGCCCTGGCTTCCTTGTCTGTAAGAGGCGTGTGATAACTACGTGACCTGGTAGGACAGACACGGTGCCAGGCAGCAGGTCCCGGTAACTGCTGGCTGTCCAGGTGGTCTGAAATTCGCAGGAGCTGGTCCTCTCACAGATGGAGGCCGACACAATTGCACTGCGCTGGCTCCTTGGAGGACACGACCCTCCCCCACCCGAACCACCACAGCCCGGCCCCGCCAGGCCTCCCACCAGGCCACCCCTTCCTGGGTGCCTAGCCGCCCTCCCTAGACTCACCACAGCCCGGCTGGGTGCCCCTTGTCCTCCGGCGCGCTGGGTTCCCCAGCATTCTTCTGTGCACTTGCTTTCAGCTCCTGGACCCGTGCCCCCAGCTCCTGTGCCCGCTGCAGGCACGACTTGAGCTCAGAGAGAGTGACTTTGGAAGGGACCTGCAGACACAGAGTGCTGTCAGCTCGCCTGTCACCCCGAGCCAGTCCACCTCCCCTGCCCTCAGTCCAGCCTCACCTTGTCATTGTCCTCCTGGGCTGCCGGGCAAGGTCGCTGACTGGCTGAGAGGGGGGCCTTCTTTGTCTTCTTGCTTTGGAGGGAAGAGTGCTCTGGGGAGCCAGCGGAACTAGGGCCAGAGACCTGGTGGGAAGGACCCCAAAGGTGATGAAACCACAAGACACTGGGGTGCACCATCTCGCAGAAAGCAGCTCTCCTGCCCCCTTGGTTAACCAGGACACGCCCCGCTCATAGCCAGGGCCAGAGTCACCCAGGCCTGACCCCTCGCCCAGTCTTGCAGACGAACCTGGCGTTTACCAGTCCGCTGGGCTCTGGCCCTCCCCCAGCACGTGCCACATCAGGCACCCCGCCTGTCACTGGAAGTCCTCTGGAAGGGAGGCCCCGCGAGGCTACGGGACCCCGCCTGCCAGGTGCGCGTGAGCTGGCCCTAGCCCCTCCTCCCGCGGGGGGCCTGGGTTCCACCCGGGTCGGTGCCCTCCTCCAGGGCAGGTCTCTCCAGCAGCCCCGCCCCCGCCCCACCCGGGCCGGCTCACCGCTCCACCGGTTCCCTCCCGTCTGTCTCCCTCCCAGGCCTCAGGTTCCTCCTCCCCTCCGCGCCCTCACCGCGTGGGCCGGCAGCCGCAGCCTCCTGCGCGCGGGCGGTGCAGGCTCGTCGCGCGTGAGCTCGGCGGGCGAGCGGGCGCGCTTGCGGCTGCTGCTGGGGCCGGGGGCCGGGGCGCGGGGGGCGGCCTTGTCGGGACTCGGGGTGCGCCAGGCCGGCTTGGCGCGCGTCGGCTTGGCCCGGAGCCCAGGACGGCGGCTCGCGAAGAAGTCGGTGAGGCGGCACTGCGCCATGGCGGGAGCGGCGGGAGCGGCGGGAGCGGCGGGACCGGGGCTGCAAGACCACGACTGCAGGACCACAGGCGGAAGTGGAGCCGCTTTTCCCGCTGGTTTTCGCGCCGCGCCCTGGCCCCGCCCCGGCCGTGGGCGGAACCATCGGCGCCTTGGCCAAGGGGGTTGGCGCAATAGGGACGGGCCCGGGCGCGTGCGCGCTGGCCCTCTCCGGCTGCGCCTACCGCGCATGCGCCGCAGCGAGGGTCTGGGTTGTTTGGTGGTCCTTGTGCCGTTTCCCGAGTCCTGGATGGGTCTGCGCCGGGCGGCACGGTTCCGGGTGGGCGTCGAGCCAGTGCTGTCCTGGCAAACAGGAACATGCTCCGCTGCTTCCACCTGAAATTTAAACTAATACGGTGCAGTGAAGCTGGCGCCCAGCTGCGCGGACTAGGAGGGCGCTGCGCACGTGGCCGCGGGGGCGGGGGTCTCGGCGTGTCCTGGGTCTGGCCTGGCGCCCAGTGTGCGGCCCAGGACCCTGAGGCTGGTGGATGCCCCTCGAAAGAAGGTGTTCGGCAGTTCTGGGAACGGACCGAGGCCACTGAATTGCACACTTCTTTAAGGGTGTAGGTTATGTTTCAATCAAGCTGTTATTTTGAAAGAGAAAGTTGCTCTCAAATGGCCAAATTGGAAAGAAAGTTTCTTAAAGCCTGAAGCTAGGTTATCTGGCAGGCTCAATGTCTGTGGAATTCCCATCACAGAAAAATGCGGTCAGCCCGGTTCTGAAGTCTGACCACAGGTCTGGGAGGAAACTAAATCGCAAGGGTTGTCTTTGGCGGGGGATGAGGGCTGAGACGGGAGTCTTACTTTGCCGTCTTCTCCAAGTTTCCTGTAAGGAGCCTGAGTCCTGCCTTTACAAGAGCAAAATTTAAAGGAACAGAAACGTCAGTTGAGGTGGTGCTTGCAAAATGACAAGAGTGGGAAAGTTGGGGGCTGATGAGACAGTTTGGTAGAAAAGCATCGTTGACCACATGTTGTAAAGGGCACAGCAACTAGATCCATGTTTTGTCAGCAGCCAGTAGCAAGTTATTAGTGGGCCGAGGCCAGCATTTTTAAGGCTACCTTTTGTTACAGTTTTGTTTTGGTGTGTGTACTCCGAGCCACCAAGTAAAGTGTGTTTTTTTGTTTTTTAATTTATTTTATTAAAGTATAGTTGGTTTACAATGTTGTGTTAATGTGTGGTACAGCAAAGTGATTCAGTTATACGTACACGTGCATATTCTTTTTTTATGTTCTTTTCCTTTATGGTTTATCTCAGGAGATTGTATATAGTTCCCTGTGCTCTGCAGTAGGAGCTTGCTGTTTCTTCATTCTATATATAATAGTTTGAATCTGCTAACTCCAGACTCCCAATCCAACCCTCTCCAGCTCCCACTCCCCCTTAGCAACCACAAGTTTGTTCTGTGTCTGTGAGTCTGTTCCTGTTTTGTAGGTAAAATAATTTGTATCATTTTTGTTTTGGATTTTGCCAATCAGTGATATCATATTACTATTTGTCTTTCTCTTTATGACTTACTTCACTTAGTATGTAATCTCTAAGTCCGTCCATGTTGCTGCAAATGGCATTATTTCACTCTTTTATGGCTAATATCCCACTGTGTATATACCACATCTTCTTTATCTGTTCATATGTTGATGGACATGTAGGTTGTTTCCATGTTTTGGCTATTGTGAATAGTGGTGCTGTGAACATAGGGGTGCATATATCTTTTCGAGTTAAAGTCTATCTGGATATAGGCCCAGGAGTGGGATTGCTGGATCGTATGGTTCCTCTATTTTTAGTTTTATGAGGAACCTCCATTCTGTTTTCCATAGTGGCTGCAAATCATTTTCATTCCCCCCAACAGTGCAGGAGGGTTCCCTTTTCTCCACACCCTCTCCAGCATTTGTTATTTGTAGACTTTTTTTTTTTTTTTTTAGCATTTATTTATTTGGCTACACCGGGTCTTTGTTGCGGCATGTAGGATTTTTTTTTTTAGTTGCGGCATGTGGGCTCTTAGTTGTGGCATGCAAACTCTTAGTTGCGGCAGGCGGGATCTAGTTCCCTGATCAGGGTTTGAACCTGGGCCCCCTGCATTGGGAACGTGGAGTCTTAACCCCTGGACCACCAGGGAATCCCTCTGTAGACTTTTTAACGATGGCTTTCCTCACCTCTGTGAGGTGGTACCTCATTGTAGTTTTGATTTCCATAAAACGCATTTTTAATCAAAACAGTGGTTGGGGGTTGTAGGCAGGCATCAACCTGAGTCGAAGTGGAGCCTTCTGCGCGTTAAAGAGGGACAGCGTGTGGGAGTCCAGACCTGCCTGGGCGCCTACGCCGCAGGCACAGCCTCTTCTTGCGATAAGGGGACCTTGTACACCTCGGCTGGCTTGTAAGCTGCTCATCAGGAGGAAGGGTGCAACGAGTTGGTTTCCCACTCTCTGTTTCACATTTTGAAAACAGAGAAACACCTGGTCTGGAGAGGTGCCAGCGCCAGGGCCTGACAGTAGTGACTGTGCGCTCGGCACCCCCACCCCCACCCCGCCGCCTGCCGTTTAGCCCAGCCCCTGCCCCCTGTAGATAAGCTGATGGGCAGGAAGTGGCCGGAGGCCTCGCCGGTTTCCGCAACACTGAGCAGGCGCCACCGGCGTATCACGTTTCACGTGTCTTGCCACCTGCCCACCCACCAGCCTGGAGCCACAGAGTGGGCGCTGGCTTATACCCTCCCAGAGCTGTGTGGGGCCCCAGGGTCCTGAGAAATCCAGGGGGATGCTTCGGGAGGGGACTCCCTTCCCGCTTGGCCACCACACACTTTGTTATAGGCACATGCTGCCAGGCGTGTCCACAGCAAGGGGACTCCTGGGAAGGGAAAGCGTTGCACAGAATTACTCCTGCTGGGGGCAGCTCTGGGGTCCTCGCAAGCCCTGAGTGGCTCTAGGATGAGCTGAGGCTGAGAAGGATGCCCACTGGAGTCTCAAGTCCAGAACATGAGTGTGAACCTTTGTCTGCGGGGGTGGGATGAGGGCTGGGTAGTGCTGGGGGTCTGGGGACTTGGCACACTGACCCCTCACAGCCAGCCAGCAGCAAGGGGGCAGCCCCACAGCAGGGTCCTCAGGACCCGCCCCGCCGCTATGGCCACCGTCCATGTCCTGGCGTAGCGTCTGGCTGTGCCACTGTGGCGTATTTTTAATGTCACCCCTGGAAAGCAGGCCTTTCGGGGTGGTTTCAACCCTGGGGCCAGTTGCTTCTCAGAAAACTGCCCACCCACCTGCAGTGATGGAGTTTGGCAGCCGAGGCAGCACTGGGCGACGCCTCTTCCGAACACCGCCCCCTGGTCTGAGAGGCGCACAGCTGAGCCAATCAGAACCTCTTCTGGGACCTGGGCCTCGAGTTAGAATCCCCTTCTGTCTCCCCTGGTAGCAGAAAGTGAGATGGAGGAGGACAGCCACCTTCCACCATGTGTGTGGAGACAGAGCGAGCAAGGGACCCTGTGGCCCCAGTGACAGACAGCCAGGCAGCCGCTAACTCAGATGTGGTTTCTTTTGTTTTATGTTTGCTGTGCCAGGTCTTAGTTACGGCATACGGGATCTTTAGTTGCAGCATGTGGAGTCTCAGTTGCAGCATGCATGCGGGATCTAGTTCCCCGACCAGTGATCGAACCCGGGCCCCCTGCATTGGGAGCACAGAGTCTTACCCACTGGACCACCAGGGAAGTCCCTCAGATGGTTTTTAATAGTTTCCAGTTTGGTCTCTTGTGAGGCCCACTTTTTTATGAGGTAGCCTTGATTCCTTCCTATACCTGTGCCTCTGGGTGGGTTTCTGTTTCTTCCAACCCAAAGAGCCTTGATTAAAGCATGGTCACAAAGGTTGGTCCATATGAGGCTGCATTAGTAAAAGTATAGAGAAGGGAGGTGAAAGCCCTTCTCTGACAGGGTTCCACCAGCCAAGTCAGGTTGGCTTATAGGTGTGGAACGCTAAAAGGATATAGCCTGGCTGAAATGCCTGGATGGGAGACAGACCAGATGGCGAGGGGCTAGACCCCTTGTCTGTGGGTGTTTACCCTGGAGAAACTTGGAGATCTGGGACTGCCTTCATTCATTTGATCAACCAGCATTTACCGAGTGACCCCCGGGAACCTGGCTGCTAAGGACCCGCTACGCACCAGCTTGAGAACAAGACAGATGAGGCCCCTGCTCTCGAGCTCACATTCTAGTGGAGAGAGAGAGAAACTAGTTATAAAGAGAGAGAGAGAGAATTTCAGATAAAGAATATGAAAGCTGGCCATGGGATTGAGTGCCAGGGGGAGCTACTTTACATCTGAGGGTTCAGGGAGGCTTCTTGGAGGCAATGACATGTGAACTGAGACTTGCATGGCGAGAAGGAGCTGCCAGGGAAGAGAATCCAGAGCAGAAGGAACTGTGAGTGTAAAGGCCCTGCAGCAGAGATCATGCAGGGCATAGCCCCTTTCATGACAGAGCCCTGGAAGTCCTGCAGTGCCACTTCGGCCCCTCGTGTGGGACAAAGAGGTTGCAAAGGTCCACCCAGCCTCCAGGGGGGGAGACGTAGGCCCCACCTCTAGACACAGCAAGGTCAAGGCCACATTGCAGGATGAGCTGTCCAGAGGTGGGGTAGCAAGCTTCTGGTGACGAAGGACCACCAGGAGAAGGGATTCAAGCGCTGAATATTAACAGCCAAAGTGTGTGTGCTTACCACGTGCCAGGTATAGTCCTGAGAGCTTTACACATACCTCTGTATCTGATCCCCACAGCCACCTAGGATGTAGATGGCTACAGAAAACGCCCATTTCATGGATGAGAAGACTGAGGCCAGAGAGGTTGAGCCACTTGCTTCGGGCCACACAGCCTGCAAGTGGCTGAGCTGAAATTCAAACCTAGGTCCATGCTGGCTGGCCCACCCATGTGGGCTGAGCCAGAGCCTATCTGCCCACCCAGGTGGGCCACCATCCCTGACTGGGAGTGACTTGGTT